CTCAATATAAATGAATTTGTATGAATGCATATTAATATCTTGTTTGACAGCGATAAAGCTGCGGTCTCACTTACTCCCGGCAGAGCCCAGGACCATCCCGATAAGTTACCGGGATGATCCGGGACAATCCGGGGTGAAATTATTGTTCCAGTCACTCTAACCCCGGCAGCACTACGGAAATTCTCAACTTAGCATCCAGAATGCGCTCCGGATCATCAAGGCATAGCCCAGGCGAAGGTACGGTTCATGCCGGTGCTTCCCCGGTCGTTCCCGGATGACGCAGGAAGAGCCCGGTCGATCCAGGCAGAGCCCCGGCAGAGCCCAGGACGATCAAGGCAAAGCCCCGGTAGAACCCCGGTGGATTGAAAACACTCGAAATGATTGCATTGATACATAGTTTTTATAAAATATAACATCTATTTTTCCAAAATAGTAATTCATGATGATTTTTTGAAAAACCATTATGCAAGACTGGATAGAAGAGAAATGGGAAGACACTGGTCGTTCCCGGCATAGCTAAGGATGAAGCCGGCAAAGCTATACTTCCCGGATCATACCGGACCAACCCGGTGCTAATAAATATTTTATCCCATCCAGATCGAATGCCGGAACTTCCAGGATCATCCCGGACGTTGCCAGCAGAGTTACGGATGTACCCCGGTTGTTCCCGGTCGTAACCCGGACGTTTTCCGGGGCTCTGCCGGGATGTCAGTGAGACTGTAGCACGGTTGACTGGCATTTGTTATAATTAATTGCATCTGACAAAATGTTGACAAAAAATATTTTTTTATAATAAGGAATAGGACAACAATACATACCCAGCCTTTCTGTTTACCTGTGAAAAAATTAAATAAGAAAAATAACTAAATTGTTTTAAGCAGACTGTAGAAAAATTTACAATACATGTACTACTTAAATTTTCTAACTTTATAATTATAGTGATGATCAAAAAGCTCTTTCCAACTTGATCTTATTTAACGACTATGTAAACGCCATTTTGATAACTTACATGCTTGAAAGAAAAGATTGGGGAAAGAAAATCAAACATCTAAGTATAGGTTAGAGTGCATATTGGGTGTTCTTCGTAAATAAGAAAGCTAAAAAGGAGCGGAGCTTGCGAAGCGACTGTAGCTTTCTTATTTACAAAGAACATCCAATATGCACTCTAACCGGCTTAGTGCTCCGCCCATTTTTTTCCGCCCAACACACTGCGTGACGTCACACAATAGCCTAAATGTGTATAACCATATTTGGAAGAGGTAGCGGTACACATTTTCGGGTCACGTGTTTTGCATAGCTTATTCCCGCATTCTGTCTAGGTAAATCAGACAATATCACGGTACATATTCATATCGGTACCCTCTTTGCGAAATATTTATTTATGTGCTGATTTGTCATGTGCCCGATTTCCATGTACTGCAACTTCACAATAAGCCACAAAAAGTCGACATGTCTTGCCTCGCCCGTCACCTTGACATATTTTTCGGGCTGAAATGAAACCTGTAGCTTGATTATATATGCAGCATACATATTTATTATGTTCATATACATATCATCTTCGGACAAATGGCAGTATATTGTCAAAAATAAATTAATAAAAACACCCTACTTTCGGTTTTGCAGCGGCACGGGCTGTAATATTTACATAAAAAGTAAGAAATATTACATACATACTTTGTTGGAATAAGTGAACTTTTTATTTGTAAATTATAAAATGATACTGGTTCCCTAAGTAATAAAACATTTTAACTGTTATTTTGCCTGTTTTCATTTCAATGAACCTCTTTTTTTAATTCTATGCCGTATTGACGGTACGGAAAAACATGATGCATAAATATTGATTAGTAGGAGTAAACTTCAAGATCTCTGCACATGCGTATATTTCACTTCAGCGCTCTTCGAAACTTAGCTCCGCCCACTTGCGTTTTATAATATAAAACGTCCAGTTTATATAAAATCTGTTCTATTAAGATTTGAAACCTGAAAATTTGAAAAATCCTCGTCGGTGATTGGCTTAAAAAAATTGGCGAGCACTAAAACATAGAGGTGTTCAATGACTTACGTTTCGCTTGTCATGTTCGGCATCTTGAATGGAAGGAAAGAATCTTGAAAAATAACTAGAAAAAAAACGGTCGTAAAAGACATGATTCAAGTAAATGAAAAATTTAGTGTTACAAATTCTAACCAATTTATGACATCTTACTTGATGAAGTTCAGATTTATAAGATTCTTTCTACCTGGACTCTTTTTAATTAAATCAAGTCCCTTACATCCTTCAATGACATTTCCTATGGTTTCCTGTCTTATGAACGTAAATGTTCTAGCTCTATTACTTTTTTCAAATTTAGCAAAAGTTTCCTTTATATCTTTCAATTGTTTTCGCGAACGTATTGCCGTGACAAATAACCTTTTTGGATCATTTTTTCTAAATCTCCATTGTCATTTCCATTGCAGATAGCTCTTGTCTCATATTATATGCATTTACTTCTAGCTTCTCTAAACATCTTAAAGTCTCGGTTTTTGTATCGTTTGCCTCTTCACAAGCGTCAAAATCAAGTAATCCATCTTTACCTTTATCGTTTTCCTAAAGCGTTCGGCGTCTCTGATGAATGTTTTATGTGTAGCGTGTGTACTGTCCATGTTTGTTTTTATCTTCTTTTCGTATTCTTTTTTTTCATTGCTGCATTTTTCAATTTCTTAAATGGCTTCGTCTAAGTATTCATTTTTATCTACATTATCTAAACTCATCGTCTTATCCGATATATATATTACTTTACATGTTTTAAAACGAAAATAATGCATTCTCTACAGCCAATCACTCGATGCGTTGCGCAATAAAATGTCAAAGGTTGTTGATCGTGCTTCGGACATATATCTTGCAAAACTCCTAATTCTTCGTCCAAAGCCGACGAACCATCAATACAAAAATTATCCAGGAACGTATGGTTCTACACATTTTTCCCCTCCGATGATGCTGAAACTGAAAACACTCAGCACACAAGCTTTTTGACATTTATTACAACGGCCTTTAGCTGCTGTTACATTTCCATTAAAACTGCACGGTTTACACCCGCAATATTTTTTACGTTTTCAGACTTTTTTTTATAAATAGAAACATTACCTTCCGCTACAGCCATTTCAATAAATGCACTAAATTACTATAATATTCTTTTGGCAAACAATTTTAACAATAAAAGTTAAATCCTATAAATCTTTATTTGCGTAAACAACTGTATTTTAAAGTTATTCAAACGATATTGATTTTGAAATATGGTCTATATAAATATTTGAATAATGCATTAACATTAAGAGGGTATATAGTTGTATATATTTTATCGACATACTGTACTACGAAAACCAAATAGCGCCATACTTCAGTTTAACGCCTTTACGAATATTCCAATTTTAGATATTAACTACAATCATGGTTAACATTTATGCATTTTTAAATAACAACAACATATTGATTTCAAGAAATGTCTAAAATTATAAATGAAGTGGTTAGATCAGCGTTTCAGACGTGAAATGTATTTAACTGATAATATAAATCTTTAACCAAACAAAAGCATTATTATATATAAATTTAATAGTAAAATATCTCCTTAACATGGTTATTAATGCGACCGTAATTAAAGACGTGTGCAAAATATTGTCGACTATGATAACCATCAGAATATCAAACCTTGGTAACATTTAAATGATTTTGCACATTTTTTAAAAGTTGTCATTAAACAACTGATTGAATCTGAACTGATAGTTATAGTTGATATCGATAAGACGTATATGTTACAACATTCTAAAATATTTTATATACGAAATAAAAAAAGCTAAATAAATAGGTAAATAAATTAATAAATAAATAAATAGTTTTCTATTTTTCCTAATGTGCGAAACTATTAAAATAATTACAATTGGTGTTGGTAATTTGCTTGTAGATTTGTTAAACAGATGCCTTAAATTATTTAACATTAATTTAAGTAGATAAATATTTTAGTTGGGCAAAGTTTACCATGTTTTAAAAAAAAGTAAATGCGTGATTTGGCCGTGGTGGGGTGGGTGAACGCCCAAAAAAAGTTATTAATTGTTTTGCAGAGTGTTTTTAAAACCCCCACGGGCGGCCTTTGTTGTTTTTTCCGAAAATGTTTTACAAAAGGGATAGTACGGGTTTTATGCCCGGGAACGGATTCTAGATTTTTTCCAATAAATAATAGTTTTGGCAGCACAATTCCCAATTAAAATAAAATTTTGCTTTTAAAAACAAATTAAAAATTTTGTGTCTTTTCTAAAAAAAGTAAGGCTAAACTAAAAGTTTAAAGACAAAAAGTGCCCCCTTTTTAATAAAAATTATTTAAAATTTTGGTTAATTTTAAAATAAAATTCAATGGGAACGAAAAAACTTATTCTATGTGATACTCTTAGTTTCTTATCCTCGCTTTCTCTCGGGAAATTCTTCTCTGAAAATACTTAAGGGTTTGCAGGTATACAATAACGTAGAAAAAACACGCAGGCATGACCACACGCCGCTGTTGCACTATTTTTATTATTCGTGACTGAGACCCACAGATTAATTCCATGACGGTCGAGGTAGTTTTATTATCAAAACAAATTTTCATAGCCCTTAAGCTTTTTGGGTCGGGTTTTTAATACGTCCTCATGTTGTAGCGTTTGTGAATGCACGAAAGAAAGGTGTATTAAACCTGTATTAATACCTTATTTAGTCCAATTTAAAGGATAATTGTTTACCACATTTTTTTTAAGTTATAATCAGTTGTGATTGTGCCAAAAAAGTTTTGTCACTGTATAGGCGTCGTAGTTTTAATCCAGGGTAATATTGGTGAAACTCTTTATGTTATGATAAGCATAGTTTGTATAGTCTATATAAATGCCTAGGCCTTAACCTGTACTCTATTTATCGATCGATATTTCAATTATTTACTTGTTAAACATTTGTATGTGTTTAAGCTTTAAATAAGTATTTATAGTTTCGTCAAAGCATAAAAATGGAAGTATCTGGACGAAAAGGACATATTGTTTGTGAACCGTGTGCAGAAGATGGAGACGACATTACTGCTGACGGATGTTGTAAAGAATGTGAAGAGAATATGTGCAGTAAATGTTTTCAACATCACCGGAAGGGCAAACATTGCAGAAACCACGCGTTTCTCTATGCAGAATATAGTGGAACACCGTCTGCTTTAAAAATAAAGCCAGTAGGATTGATAGACAAATGTCCAAAGCATGTTGAAAAGAAAATAAACTTCTACTGTGAAGCTCACGAAATAGTTGGTTGCGGAGAATGCATAATACACGAGCATAAAACATGTGAAGTTTTATATATATCAGATGTGACAAGGGGACAGAACGAAAATGAGTATATAGAAGAGGTTGTTAAAGAAATAGAAAATTGCAGCAACGAAATTAAAGAATACGAGAAAGAAATACATAGAAATATTGATAAAGTGAAAGCTACACATGTAAAATTCAGTTATGATGCTGAGCGATTTAAGCAAGATATATTGGAAAAAATAGATAAACTCATATTTGATGCATGCAAACAGGCCAGTTTTATAAAAACTGATATATTGAGTGCATTAGGGAAGCTAAAGGAAGAAGTATCTAAAGTAACAGATGAGTTATCATCAATGAAGACTAAGGCCGACATAGAGAAAAATGAGCCAACCGGTAACTTTGTCATGGCCTTATGGTTAAGAAAGAGATTAAAGGAAATAGAAGACGATTTAATAGAAATTGGCAAAAGGACTATTGTGACAAAATATAGGTTTCTGAAAAATGAAAACATTGAACAAGAAGTTGAAAAATGCAAGGGACGTGACTTATTTCGAAGAGGTCTAGGTAAGGAAAATGATTAAATTGCACTAAATGATTCCTATTTATTTTTTAAATGACACGCAAATACCATTTCACATTAAGCGCTCGTTATTCGGAAATAATTGACAAAGGTCTTTTTTAGCATTTTCTAAGTATGTCTTCATATTGTCATCAATTTCATTTTGTTTCATTTTATAAATAGATACGTTATGTTTTTCAGATGATGAACTTGACAAATATGTGAGCATGCACAAAATATTGATTATATTATTATTTAAGTCCCCTATTGGCGGTTTTAGAAAGTCAAATTTATTTCATAAATTGATACATGATGGCAGCTTGACAAAATGCAATCTAACTTAAGTTCAGATATACTTTTTTCTACAGTTTACGTTTTGGGAGCTGGTTGTAATAAGATTGATAAACATAGCTCGTAACTGTACACTAAATGTAAAGGTACTATTACAAAAAAGATACTTATACAATAATTCAAACAATTGTGAAATATTGGCATAGAACTTTGGACTGAATATGATCTCTTCTTTTAAATTTTGAACTGACTTTGAGTTCTTCTTTATCTATTTTAGTGTATCAGGAACCCAAGGTATGTGTCTTTGTTTCTTTTTGTCTTCTTAAAAACTGTTAAGAATATGAATTGAAAATATTATTAGATTTAATTGCCCACAGATGGTACAATCTTAAGCGCAGGTCATGTGAGCGACCTATTATACCGTCATTGACTACTTCACAGCTGATTAAAAATTAGATACTAGTCGTTTGTTTCACTGAGTTAAAGTATCTAAGTCATATTTATGTTAAGCTTGTATCGTAATGGAAATATCAGTATGATTTATTTTCAAACAAAATGTTCACATTGTCTTTCAGAAATTCAGAAATAAAATATTTGTCACATGTTTGTTATTGCCGTAATCTTGTCAATGGAGACAGAGATTTGCCGATTTTTAGTGCAACAAAACAAAATCTGTTTAATGGATAACTTGTTTATTTTTTATGTATTTCAGAACGGTTATCCTAGAGAAAGCTTCTGGAGTACTTGGTTTTAGAATACAAGGAGGTGATGATTATCAACCGCTTTTTGTGGGTAAAATTTTACCTGGTACACCAGCTGCAAATTCTAACAAGATACTGCGTGGAGATAAGATCATTTCGGTAAGTGCGTAAATAATTAAAAATTTTTTTAATTTAAATGGAATAAAAAAAGCCAAACTTTGCAAAACCTTTTTTTACTATAACTCAAGTTTTCAAAGAATGGTGATATTACCGTAATGGTTTTTAACAGTTGTATAGTAAATAATTGTAGTTATTATCAAGTAAAAGATTGTATTAAGATAAGATCATAAAGCGAAAGAACTCATAAATCAACGAGAAAATTGAGCATTCTTGACGATAATAAGAATGTTATACTGTTTTTATTGGCTTCTTTTTAGTATGGATATTTTGACATCTGATTCACTTTGAAATAGCGCGTAACTTATAAGACGAAGCCTCCTCAGTATCATATATTTTCATATATTTTTTTTTTAATATTTAAATGAAAACCATGTTGTTAAGATCCTGGACCATTTAGAAAAGCCCCGTAACTCTTTCCGGTTCCCAAATGGGTACCTTTTGGGTAGTCCTGTGTGCTCTGATGTTGTCGGGTAAAGTATTCCCATAACGGTTAAACGTTCTGTCTCGTATCGCTCTTCCTAACCTTTTCATAGCGAGACATATCTTACATAATAAAGGACAAAAGGTTAAATATGAACGAATGTTAGAAGTTTATAACTATTAATACTTTGCATTTAGTGTTTTTCCTTACCAGATGATTCTCTGAATAAAAATCAGACTTTGCTGCAAACTGATTCTTGGAAGTGAATAAGTAATTTCAGTGATAGAATTTCAAAGTAAGATATGTATGCATAACAAAAAAAGGGAAAAAAGAAATAATTCAAAACAAAGAGGGACAATCCTGTCATATATATTAAAGATAACATTTTATACAAACAAGCGATATCTTTACATAACCTAGATACTATTAGGTAGATAAAACAATTTAATTATTTTCAGAAACTTACAGAATTAGATTTTCATGACCGGAAAATGCTTCGAATGATATATTTTTTCATAGAAATATCTCAAATTTGTTAACTTGTCTCTTTCTGAACGAACACCACTTCACAGGACTTTCAAAAATGTTGGACATATTGCGAAATATTAATTATTTTTTATAATATTTCTGACTGGTGTTACTTATTTTCATCATTTACCAATTATTTTAATAGATAAACAACGTAGATGTAACTAAGGCGTCTCATCGTGAGGCAGTTTCCTTAATGAAAAAATCTGAGAAAGCAATTCTAGTTCTTTGCCGCCCAGAACGTAAGGACATTCTCGAAAAATGTATAAGCTTTTTTTATCTACTGTACAAAATATAGTTTTATCACAGACATAAACACAGATTTTATCTGACCTTTCGTTTGAAGAACTTTCTTATTTTAGAATAACTTGATTTACTGCTTACGATTTTGTTTCAATCTGTGTTAGAATCTTAAAAGTATGCGTATACTTTTTTGTAAATTTCATTACTGAATGGTTTGAACAATTTTACCCGATTTTAGATTTCAACGCAAAGAAGTAGCTATGAACAATAGAAAGTTGTAGAATAATGAACAGCATGAACTGTTTCGGTAACAGGAAGGAGGAAATATGCCCGAAATCAAAAAGATACATCAGATCAAGACTTGGATTAAAGACTTATAACATGATGAATGTGTTTTAAAATCTGAAAGGGAGCATTGTGTAGAATAGAGAATGGAAAGGTCCCTGAAGTTTGCCTAATGATATTTCCAACTAAATGTATTATTCTTATCGATCAATTTGCGAAAAACATACTATAATTATTGTTACTTTATTGGTCATGACAGAATGGGTATGACCGTGGTTAGTGTTTTGTAAACATTGATCTTGCAACCTCTTCAATTTTGCCGTTTTCGGCGTTCTTAAGGGATAAGTGTTTTTATATATTCTGTCTATTTGACCTTGCATGATTGAGCCTGTTCATGGACGGTACTGGAAATTGCAAGTTACCGTCCACGCCCCCTAGCACCGGCTTAAGCAGAATTCAACATTTAAACACGAAAATGGTGAAGTTTTGAATTTAGAAATATCCACAAATGTGTTCGTACGGCAGTCATCATGGAATCTTCAATGTGCTACAATAGTGTCATTCCATGAAAAGCGGCGTATGATCCCCAAGTAAAAGAATGCATGTGACCTAAACGAGAAAACAATGGGCGGAACTATATAAAATGGAATTTTGAAAGGGGATCTGAAGTTATGAAGCCTGCATATCACAGACAAGACGTCAAAAGACAGATTTAGAAAACAGGCAACATATCCTAAGAATGATTATACATGTACTGTATTCAAGTAGGGATGCTGGAACCACCCAAGTTGAAAAAGGCCAAATACAAGAAACTAAAAATACCATCTACAATGTATACACTACAATAATGTCGTGTTGAACGATCTTCAAGGATCGAAAATATAACATCATTGATTAAATGTACGGGGAAACCTTTACAGCCGCGGCACGGCACAAATAACACGGATGTGGCAATGAAACAGAGAAAAACAGATTCCCTTAAGAAAGCCCAACATGGCAAAATTGTAAAATGTTGCAGGCTCGCTTTGATTGAGCCTGTTCATGGACGGTAATGGAAATTGCAAGTTACAGTCACCGCCCCTTAGCACCGGCTTAAGCAGAATTCAACATTTAAATACGAAAATGATGAAATTTTAAATTTATAAATATCTGCAGATGTGTTAATACGGCGGGCATCGCTTTGCAAACATTCTGTTTACATGATCATTAACCTTCAAAAAGATCAAATTTTCATATCTAATTTTTGATTTATTGTATCTCGTTTTAGATGAGAGAGCATGCTCATACTCTTTAAACATATCGAAAATTATTTGCCTTTATTATCCTTCATTATTTCCTTAAATTATTTTCATTTGTACTTCATAGATAATGTCTTTCAATATTTCTGATAGCATTAAAGCGTTCATTGCTGTTTACAATAACGTTCCAGTTATTACATGTATTATAAATTTCAGGTCGTTGTACAATGAACAACTGCACTTCATTTTCAACAATATACGAAAAAATGAGCAAAAGCAAATTATCTGTCAATGTTTAAGAGTATTCCTGTTTTTTAAGTCGTGGCCAGTGCATCTAAAATTTGCTAAGGCATTTTCGCGTATACATACACATGGTATACCAAATACATTCATTAGAAAAAGATGTTTCATACATCATTTTACTTAGGATAACGATGGATAAAAGAATTTCTAAATTTTATATAGTATTGTTTAGACAATTTTCTATAATTCCATAATGGGTAACTTCATATGATAGGTCAACTTGAACTAAAAAGTAATATATTTGGAATGAAATTGTGCAATCATGCTACTTCGATGGAAAAAATATAATATAACAGTGTTTTAATCAATGAAAACAGAGAATGATTTTTGTACAGAAGAGTCCTTTAAACATATTTATTTAAGCTCGATTTTCGGAATAAGTTCTTGAAACTTGTATTAATCACTATCAAGTCTGCTGGCCGGAACTAACCAGTACTGGTGTCATATGAAGAAACATGGTCGTGTCCCGATTAAGGCTCTAACCTATGATCCCTTGGTTTAGAGGCGGACATGCAGAAGAGTCCTAACATAGTCCTGCTATCATAATTTGTTATTGTATAAATTTGTTTACGTGTCGCAACATTTTCATTACCTTTAAATGTCACAATACTATAAACAACTGGCGTTGTGTCAATACTAACGTTATGTTAGTGATCTGGGAACAAGCAATCTATCAGATAGGGAAGGATTTGCTGTGATATACAAAGTAAGTTGGAATTGAAGTCATCTTAGTCGGTATTGTGAATTGACGACCAAAATTTATGCCAAATAGCCCCTTGCAAACACATTTGTATACATTGTACGTTCATCATTTAGCAACCCATAGCTCGTG